ATTAGATAAACGGCAATTTTGTAAATTATGCAAGTATTGATCTGCATTAATTTATTGGAAGGTATCATTTTTCCTGTAGAATAGGATGAAATTCCAAGGATAAAGATAGTTTTAGCATTTACTTACTCATTGATCGAGTTCTTTTATAAATTAAAGAGAAATATATCAGTTTTGAGAACACAGTTGATTGAAAAATAAGAGGAATAAAAATTTTACGGTGAAGATAGACTACACGCTTTGTTAATTTAAAAACTTTTCAATGTGGCCCTAGTCACAGGAGAATAATTGTCTATAAAATAAGTAAATAAGATAAAAGTTGACGTAAGCTTTTTCAAGTATTTGTGCTTTTACGATTTTATTACACAGTGTATCTTTGTAGTTATCTGTTTCTAGGAAGAAAATATTACTATTGGTTTATTGTTCAATAGTTAATTACAAGCAAATATCTAAGAATGATAACACAAAGTAAAATAAAGTTTGAAGTATGTGAATAACAGCCAAAATATAAAATGCAATGGAAAGATAAAAGTTCTCTCTTTGTTTGTTGAGGTTTTACGAAAGAAATATAGAGAGCGAAAGAGAGTTATATTTTAAAAAGTAATGCGAGTTTGTTAAATGACAACAAAGTTTCTGAATACAATAAGTAAAAATCAAATTTTTCTGGCGCACACGCGCGCGTGGCCGCGCACGCACACACGCGCGCGCACACACACACACAAAAGAAGCAATTTGTTCGTTCGAACGCTCGGTAAAGTCAACCGCTACAGCCCTCTCATCGTCAATTCCCTGCACCCTCACCCTTTTACTGCTTATCCCCACTAGCGGTGGGGGCGGTAGCCTTTCTGGGCCTTCCAAGTTTCCTCGATCACGATTCTCCATTGCTCTCTTAGTCTCTCCCTCACTCTCTCTCTCTCCAACCGCCGTAACGGATCCGGCTCAACCCTGTGGTTGTCACCATGCTCACGAAGACCGTCAAGGCAGGAGCCTCCTCTTCCATTGTGAGGTACTACAGTCTCGGTAAAGATTGAGCTGTTCTGAGTTGAAACCATACGTATTCACCTGTGCTCGCATAAGTAGTCGGTAAGAGTGTTGGATCGGCGATCGAAATCGCCGTCATTTTCGTTACACTCACGCACATTTGTACATACTCATGTGCACCCACGCAGATTGAACCCACTTCTTACAATCGTATACCGTTATGGTCGCAAAATAAAAAATGACGCGTTCGTACAATCAGGGCAGACTAAAAAAACTGTCGCAGACTTATATCAATTCAGGTTGAAGATGCTTTCTTCTGTCTAAAATTTTAGGCTGTCACCCGACATTTCCCTAGGGCTACCCAAATTAATTAACCCGCCAGTGCCATCTTTACACATATTTCCCTCCTTACGTTTCGGTTAGAATAATTCTGGCTTTCTCGCTTTTCCCTACCTACAGATGGACATTCCATGCTTTTCCCGATTTCGAGCTGTTTATTGTACGTTCAACACTCCTCGAGGTAGAAAACAATCGGATCACAAATTGGCAAACTCTTTCCGTGCCCCGTTGTAGGGTGACAAGCACCGAAATAAACGGGTGAATTAAAGGCAGGGCTGAGAGCCTCGAGGCAAGGTGACAAAATGCAGACGCGTGCACTAGTGAGAGGGCTGAGTGGCGAAGGAGGGCTCTTTCGACAGCCTGCCTGCCTCCCTACCTGCCAAATTATTGATCCTTCTCAGCATAGTACCATCAACCCCGCCGCGGACAAAATATTTCGGGCCGTGAGCTGAGGACTGGCACACCTCGGTTAATCTTGCTAATCTCTGCCAACTGCTTTTTTGGGCACCTTTTGTTTCCTCAAGTATCGCCGTTAGCTTCTTTGTCTCTGAAAAGTCACTTGAAAATTTCATAAACATCCATTCCAAAGTTGTTCCAATATAATTGCACGTTTTTTTTTTATGTTTGTACTTTGAAGCGCTTTGGGTTGCGAAAATAATTGAAATATTTAATGAGTTGGATGACGTCAAAGTGAAGCGTTAGCTTCTTCGCTTGCACCAGATCAAAAGGAGTCCAAGGAGGTCAGATTGAGCAGCCAAGGCAGCTTGAAGCCAAGTGAGAGGAGCCTTGAGCAAATGTCAAATTAGCCGAAGCCAAAGTAAAATAGAGAAGCAGGTTACGCGGAGAGGTGGCGTTTAGAAGTGAGCCTGCTGCCCATTGACATCCAGTATTTATCTAATTCCAAGCCGCAAGTTGCCACAGCCGAGAGAGCTAGTAGCTTTAATAGCGGTGCTTTCAGCGCTCTCTGCGTCTCGTTATCCTCGCGAAGGACCTACCTCAGACTCTCTGCGTTTGCCGGCTTCTCAAACGTAATCAACAATCATTCAAGATCTGCCAAACAAACCGCAAATTAGTGGACACGAGCAGACGAGTTGCCGATTCCTCTTCTGTCAGCACGAATACACGCATGTGTGCACGTCACTCTCTGACAAAACATTCGTCAATGCCTAACTCGACCGGTTTCTCCGTGTCGATATTTGCCTTCCTTTCTTAGATGAAACAAGACTCACTTTATACAGCTCTAGTCTAGCTGCGTAAAATATTTCCGAAAATTCATCAAGAGTATGAGTATTATTGCACGATACAATTAAACTGATTGCAAAAATATTCAAAACCGTGAAGCAGCACGTGGAGCAATTCGAAAGTAAAGAGGGCACCTTCCTTGGCTGGATAAAACTGGGCTTGCCGACGAGCAATATTCTTGAGCGCTCGTTTTATGGACAGACTTGAGTAGGGCTGGTTCGCGCGCTACATTTCTATGATCGCTCTGGGAGAATGTATGAACAGCTCCGTCGAGGGGCGCTCCGCTGTCTCGTCGTCGTCTTGCCGTCAAGAGCTCAAGCTTGTTCCTGCCTCGAAAGAAAAAGAAATTGCTTGAACTGGTGCATATATACCTATAGACGTGCAATGTAACGTTAAAGTCTACTTAGTATTTCTTTTTATCATTTCATAACGAATAACGCTAATCCGTATGTGTATAAAATATAAAATATCATTTGTTATTGCACGGACAATGCGCAAGTCCTTATTTTCAAGAGTTCAAGAACCCTTTGCTCAACACACTTGTACCAAGTTTGTACTAAGAGCTTGTTGCATGCTGCACACGCGATACACTTTAGAAAGTTGTATGTAACTCGGGGGCAAATCACTGGATTAGACGGTCTACCCTAATTTTGTCTGATACATCGCACCTACTCTTCCTCCTTCTCCATTTCTACATTACTTCTCGAAACTAAGGCTGTAGTAGCTGTAGCCTGCTGTGTATATGTACGCATGAGATTATCTAGGGAAACTTGAAAATTACGCACTCCACGATGGTTCGCCGTTTCAAGCTCCTTGGCATAAGATCCGTTAATATTATTTTCGAAAAGCGTATTATGTCGATTTTCTTACTGTGTACATTCACAACGTGAATAGTATGGGTCCGGCAATGCTCCCGTTGTAAGTCCATCGAGTGGGCAAAGAAGCAAGCGAGAGACAAAGAAAACTCGGAAAAAGCGAAAATCCAACGAAGAGACATTAGACAATTAGCAAGTAAGTCGATAAAGTCGTTCGAGTGCTCGCAAGTATAAGTGCATTTGGTATAAAGTATTAACCGAGTGGAGACGGAGAGCGCGCAGACGCAGGCAGTAAAAGGGGTTGACTGCAGAATAGTAGTGCAGCAGAAAGAGGTTGGAAACCGAGAGAGAGAGAGAGAGAGAGAGAGAGAGAGAGAGAGAGAGAGAGAGAGCCGCTGGCGAATCAGCCCTTTGAGTGAGGGCTACGAGGCACTCGAGACTCTACGGGGCGGCCCCCATAAACATCGTTCGCGCGCGCCTCTCCCGCGGCTATTGTCGCGCAAACATCCGGCGCGCGCGCAGTTTGCTAATCCGAGGTTGACCGTTGCCGCCGGCCTCTGCACACGTCTACGATATTGGCTTTGGTTATTAATACTGTGCCAGACCGAGCGAACGACCGCACCAACGTTGCGATCTCTCCATTATCGCCATCCACTCCCATAGCCGTCGCGCTGCCGCCGTCTTCACAATACCTCGCGCTAATGGCCAACGTCTCGTTCGCTCACTGCCAGATTCGCAGCTCCGAGCATTGAGACCCACCGCTAGCTCACTTCACTTTCCGTGACTTGCCACCTGGATTAAGCCGTATTCAAGCTCGCTTGCAATATTAACGACTCTTCGACACTTCGCTTTGTTGGACTTGCTGCTGTCCATGCAAGCTCACGTTGCTCCACGCTTATGTTGTCATTTATTCATGCAAGCATACAAGCTGGCTCAATATCCATGCAACTCATCAGCTGTCGATATTATTTTATTAATTTACTTTTATTATATCAACGAAAATCATTTAACAAATAGTTGACTTTTAAAACGAAAATAATAATATCTAAATACCTAGGGCTTTCCGAATAGTTCGACGTCGATGTTGAACTGAGTATATCATTGTAGTAGTTGTCAAGTAATAAATCATACGAATCAATTATGAAATAATCATTTCGAAATTCACTGTCATAAATAACATCGGTACAGTTACTTTTTACGTGAAAATGTGTGTAAACAAAGTTCAACATATAAAACCTCTATTTTTAAAAGAAGTAAGTACAAGAAATTTAATTGTATTTTCAACGAGTGACATTCGATAAACTTTGTTACTTTCAATATCATGCAAGTAAATACGATGACATCATTTCGAGAAATTCATTATTGCTAATCGCACGTCATCACGAGAGTATATTTGTACAATAAGGCTTACTTGTTCCTAAAATTCAATTACCAAGCCAAGAATCAGCGTAATATGTTATGATGTTTGCATATAGTACACAGTGTACGTCATACATAAAAAAATCAAGAAATGTGATCGGATGCATTCGTGTTACGTATACGCAGGTGATGCCAACTATATAGAGATAAGAAGCGATGATAAGAACAGATAATGAAAACTGTTTCAATAAAACCGCTGAAATTTTACTTAGCCGCCACAAACGCGATTGACTTTCAAGTAAGCAATAATGGGTTTTTTAACGAATACGGGACTTTTAGTAGCTTTGACTGTGGCCTTGACGACAGTTGTCACTTCAACACAGTATGGATTCTTTAACAACGATTTCAACACTGGTGGAAATAAATCGCACAATCTAATTATTGGCACAAGACAACCTGGCGATCAACAGATGTACAGAGAAAATATCATTAAGAAATCCAAATGGATGAGTGTAGTCACTGTTACCAAAACGTACCAAACTAGTAATTACACCATTAGTCAGATTCGTGCTCTCGACCAGAAGACAAATGGCAAGGGAGCTATTGCTCAGCGTATTTCCGGTGGTATTGGTTTTAACAATGTCACACTCAAGTTTAAGAGTCTAAAAGGTCACGGAATTAATTTTGTGGTAGAATTATACGGTCATCATCGTTACTAGACGTCAGTAAAAAAGAAATGTTTAACGCTTTAGTTCAGAACACGTATTTCTTTGTGAATTAACATGTTTCCGATAACACTAACATAATTGTATGAATCACTTGTACTTTTCCACTTGACTTCGACAATGACATCTGATACTTCTATAATATTATACTCCTAAAATGAATTGTATTAATGAATATTTTTCAAACTGAATAAAGTTGTTATGAAAATCAGAATTATAAAGACATTCAAACTTAATTAAAACTTATGGTGTAATTGTTTTAAAAAGATATATATTTTTCGACAGACAACAGAAGACTGTCTTAAACAAAAGTAAAATTTGTTTATTTTAAACGATAAAAGTTTTCGAACAAACAAAATGCAAATAGAAAATCATTCATTCTTAACACTCCTTGATTCAATATCGATTAAAATATAATCGATCATTCAATATACCTTTGATGTATTGAAATATACATTTTATCATTTTCCAATGATTCACTCTGAAATTACTTGAAAATCTGCTTAAATAATTAACTGAAAAATTTATATCTGGCCGAAAAATAATTGACAAATGTAATAAATTACCAATTACTTCGCGATAACGTTAACTTTTATTCAGTGAAATGACATTTTCAAAATTATCCTCTGCAGTTATGATTCATCATTCTATTAGAGTAGTAATTAAATAAATTTAATAGCAACTAAAACGTTTCAAAATCTTCTAAGCTTAATGAGATTAATTTATAAATATGTTACTTGAGCTATATTTCATTTTCATACCTATACGGTGAGTCAAATTATTTTTAGATTCAAAATAAAATTAACCACAAAAACTTTATTCAACTTCATTTAAATTGAAATCAATTATTTAAAGTTTCTTCACGTTAGTATTATTTTTACCTGTTAGAAAACCATTAGCAATAAATGAAGACATTATCATACGTCAATCTTGATTATACTAAACATACGGATCGTTTACATATCGGATAGAAGCTATAATTCTAAATCCTTCCAGTCACATCGTTAAATCCTTCGGTTTGATATATAAAAATATTTTCTTTAAATCGCTGTAGAAGGGCTATTTTAATATCAAAATTCATCAATTTAATTTTGTATGGAGTTACAATATTTTATATTGATCTAATAGATTCGTATTTAGCTTTGGACTAAAAGTTTCGAATAATCGATGCTTTCTTTCTGTTCAAAATCTCTTGCAACTAAACGTATCATCAAAATGTTTATGTAATATCTACTAATTTCCAAGTTTTCATCTGAATCAAAGAATTAAACTCAGTATTTATAACATTACGTCAATATTCATTTGCAATGCTTTGAAAATAGATGTATCCGGTTTCACCAATAGAGCTACGAATGCTTGTCGTTCAGATCTAAATAAACTGAAAATATAATTACTGAATTTATCATACCAAAAAATAGATTCGTGCACCTTTTGTGACCAAAAACAAAGAATTTATACGTACGTATCTTCAATTATTGGAGCCCTATTCGTGTGAAAGAACAAATGCCACGCGGAAAAAAAATTATACCTAAATTGTCTCCGCAATAATTATTCTACCATGAAATTCCGTGTTTCCGGTTGCAAGATTTGTATAAAAAAGCACAATATTTTATTACATTTTATTCAGTTTAATCATAACGCAAATCAAAATAATTCGGAGTCTAATCAAACAGTACATTGTAAAAAAGTTGAAGTTAAGAATTCAATACTTTGTATTGAAACTTTTTTTCAACACAGTATTGAAAATTCAATACAAAATATTGAAAATACAATACAAAGTATTGAAAATTCGGTATATAAGTTACAATAATTTCAGTTTGTAAATATTTCAATTCGGTACTATAACATTTGTAACTTAATTACGGTCAGCAATTATCATTAAATTTACTTTAAAAATAATAAAATTCTAAAGAGAATAATTTTTACAAACGACAAATTTTAGTTTGTATTGAAAATTTAATACTTGGTATTGAATTTTCAATACAGTATACAATTTTCAATACAATGTATTAAAAATTCAATATTTTCGTGTTGAATTTTCAACATTTTATATGGAAAATTGGTGTTCACTAATCAATAATAATCAAAATCTAATAATGAGAATCTAATATGTTTAACAAAAGCAATAAACGTCGTTTATTTAGTGTATTACTTGATGGAGGATCTCGGTCGAATTTTATTTTCGAAAAATTAGCATCAAAAATAAAGTTGGATCAAATAAAAATTGATTTGCTTTTCGGTTTGGGTCACTTGTACTAATTATAGAGTTAAAGCGAAAATTCAGTCGTAAATCAATTCTTATGAAAATAACTTGGATTTGGATACCACCGACGATTATTAGTTTATTGTCTTCCCGTTGTGTGGATCACAGCTCTCTCAAAATTCCTTCGGGTATTATTAAACTGACGGATCTTGAATTCAATAAACCCGCAGAAATCGACGTATTATATGGCTGAAAACTATTTTAGAAACTCTTGAATACTGGTAAGATTTTTATATAGGAGCATTAAGGCATTACCATACAGAAAAAACTTTATGGAGTTGGAGTGAAATTACGGTGAAACAATCGGTACAACGACCAAGATTATGTCCCTTAGAAACGCTAGAATAAAAATGAATCCTTTATTTTGAAATGGATTCTATTCCTTAAAAAAATATTTATTTAATGATGAACAAAAATGATAAAAATTCTATGCAGAAACCACTTGTCAAAAAATCCTTCATTGAAAACGGTGTACACAGTAGAATCGATCAAATATCGCAATCTCGGGCATGTAGAAGAAATTAAAAATATTAATAATTGCAGTAAAGCATATTTTATTCGTAATATCTCATTTCATATCTTGACGTAATTAAAGATATTCTTTTATTGTGTATCATATATGATGCGTCGTCAAAAAGTTTATCAAACGTTTCACTCAATGACGCTTTAGCAGTTGGACCGATTATTCAAAATGATTTAATGCCATTAGTCATGCTTAAGACACACGAAGGTGTGCAGACAATGTAGAAAAAAATTTTCCGATGTATTAAAATGCACTAGGACGTTTTTCGAAAAATTCTATGACGAATTAACTGTTCTGAGTCCATGCGCGTATTTGTTTTGACCATGATCACTCAAAGTACTGCGAATGCGCCCTATCTGGTTGCTAGAATGCTTCACCAATTAGCAATTGATGAAGAGGGCAGGTACTCGCAAGCTATTTAAGTTTTAAAAAACGATTTCTATGTAGATGATCTATTGACAGTACAGATACACTCGAAACAGCCATAGAGATTGAACAACAATTGGTTAGATTATTATTAAAACCAGCAGGTTTTAAACTTCATAAATGGGCCTTGTTTGATACTTGGCTCAAATTTACAAAACTATAACAGTAGTTTACTAGACAATCAAACTCCAAAAAATTTTAAGTATTCGTTCAAATGCAAAATGTAAGTGATTCTATTAAATATTTACTAAAACCATGTTTAGTTAAAAATAGCATAGCTAAACGTAGCATTTTAACTCAATTTGCAAAATTATTCGATCCATTAGGCATTTTGGGTCCAGTCAATTTAGTTGTAAAATTAATTATGCAAGAATTATGGAAAATTACATTTTCTGCATGATTTAAGATGTATTTGTTCATTACCATTCAAAACTTTTGTATGATATCGCCAATTTCATAGTTGTATTTTGTTAACAAAAATAATGGAAATCAGTTTTGACTCATTTCGGTTAGTGCTTGATACAAACTAAATTTAAAATTTTTACTTTCAGCAATAAACGTTACTCTCATCTTCATCTTTTCATCTGTCACATTATTGACTTTATATTTATATTTGGAAAATTAATTTCAAAAAAATGTTTCGTTAAATTATACTGTATCATATTAGTCGAAGTCACTTCACAATATTTCAGGTAAAACATCTATTTATGGTCCTCTTTATTATTGATTATATTTATTCAATAATCTTGATAATATAAATATTCAAGAAACTTATATATCCTGAGAATAAATATAATTCAAGTAGATTAAGATTATTTTGACATATTATGTGTGTTTTGTATGGATTTTATTCTTTTTCTAATGCCTGTGAATTGTCTTATTTTTTATTTACTCAGTCAATCGATAATAACTCAAGCTATTTATTAGCATTGATTTGCTACTTTTGCTACTCATTCGCTCAATTCCTATACATGTCGTTACAGATAGTACCCCACGTTACCATAGTTCAGTCAGACCACGCTTCACGATTATTATACTATTCGAAGAAATGACATAAAACTCGATAACCGAAAAAAGTTCATTCATTCATGACAAAAATATATATTTCTTGAATTTTTTGTAAACATAATGATATTTATGATTTACATCATAAATAATCGATTTTTGGCAAATTTGTTCAGAAAATAATACGTAAAATAAATAATTTCGGAACAAATTTGCTTTTAGAATTTATCAAATAATTATTCTAACATAATGTATTGAATTTTTAGGGGAGAATAATTCTTAGTTCAATTTTTATACATTTTTGACATAAATTCAGTAATCAAACAAATGTTTGTTTTTTTTAATTTTTAATAAGGCAATACGTTCATTGATATATTTTTCATGTAACCGTTCATTTTTTCAAAAAATTTGTATTTTATAAATCTATAAATATATTTGTGTGAAACTTGTATCTCTTTCAAATTGAATACAAATGATTTTATCTGTTGTAGGTAAGTGGACTTCATACTATTGATAATTAAGCTTAAACCAATGAAAGTGACGTTAAGCCTTAGGTGAGTGCAATTGATAACGAAATAAAATTTTTTTGATAATAATAATAATAATCGTTTTTTTATAATGTGAAAATATATAAAATTCAAAGGGAAATATTCCAGAGCATAGAAATAGCTGACTACATGTCCGTGGAAAAATATGTGACCACGTCATGTTTTTGTTTCAGCGTATCTTTTTCACATCTAATATTTGATACGTAAAGAAATATTCGGCTAGTTTCTCGAGTTCGTATAGTCTACTGACATGAATTACATGCAACAAACAGGCGATGTGAAAGCTGCGAACACTCAGAAGCGACGTTGTTCTATGCGTTCTCGCAGTGTCTTGTTCGATTTTGGCGTGATGACAGCTTCTCGTTATTTCTCAAAAAAGTTCCCGGATTCCAAGGTGCTTGTATGTGTGTGTGTAGGTGGTTGGTGTGTGTGTGTGTGTGTGT